CTAATAATATTTTAAATAATAATAAAGTAACAACATAATTTTAAAGTAATGATAATTTTTAAACCCTAGGATTCATTTCTGATTCCTTTTTCTCACCTCCCACACACAATTTCTCCCAAAGTGCTGAAGTTCTATATTAAGAATAGAATCATTCTCATCTTCTCATGATTTCCTGTGTTCTTACCCTATTTGGAGCCACTATTATTCTTCATCTGAACCACAGCAAAAATCTCCTATCTGACAATCTCCTCTTCCTATCCTGCCACAACAATCACTCATCAGAGCAACTGAAGCAATAACATAAAGACATAAATAATATTATACTGTGTCTTTATTGGAATTATCAAAGTATTTTCCCATTGCAACTAGAATGAAATCCAAAGTCCTTGCCATCTTACAACGCTTGTGCTATGGCTCTGATTATTCTGCCAACCTCATCATATTTGGCATTCTAATGATTTCCTTTTCTTTAAAGGAACCTTTAAAGTTGAACTAGATTTGAAGTATAAACTCAGAACGCATATAACTCAATATAGTTCTACTAGCTGAGCAACCATGTAACCAACTCAGAGAAGAAGAAATGGCATGTCACCACATCCCTGTAGTCTACCCCATGTCCCTTCCCAGGAGCTCCCCACCCCTAACATCACCCTTATCCTAACACCATAGATTTGCTTTTCTTGTTTATGAAATTTATAAGGGGAATCATACAGTAGTTATTCTTTGTTGCCTGAATTCTTTTCATCAAAATTATGTTTGTGAGATTCATTTATTTTCTGTAGGTCTAGTTCATTCTTGTAGCACTACAGTCTTTCTTTGTGGGAATATATCACTATTTTTGTGCCCACTTTACTACTGACAGGCATTTTAGTAATTTCCAATTTTAAATGTTTAAAAGTGGTGCTACTGGGGGGCGCCTGGGTGGCTCAGTTGGTTAAGCAACTGCCTTTGGCTCAGGTCATGATCCCAGGGTCCTGGGATCGAGCCCCACATCAGACTCCCTGCTCCGCGGGAAGCCTGCTTCTCCCTCTCCGACTCCCCCTACTCGTGTTCCCGCTCTCGCGGTCTCTCTCTCTCTGTCAATTAAATAAATAAATAAATAAAATCTTTAAAAAATAAAAAAATAAAAATAAAAAAAATAAAAGTGGTGCTACTATGAACTTTCCTCTTCATATACTTTTGTTACTATATGTGTATACTTCTGTTGAGTACATACCTAAGAATACAATGATTAGTCAGAGCATAAGGGTATGTTTAGACTCAGTGAATACTGCTAATTTTTCCAAAATCTTTATACTACAATTATTTTTATCAGTGGTATATGAATGTGTCAATTATTCCACACTCTAACTAATCTTGGTGGTTTCTTTCTTTCTCACATTAGCCATTTCAGTGGCTATGTGGAGGTAATACATTGTGATTTCAATTTTCACTTCTCTTACGACTAATGCTCTTGAGTATTCTATGATAGTTTATTGGAAATTTGAAAATATCCTTCCATGAACTTGCTGTTCAAGTTGTTTGGACATTTTTCTGCTTCTTTGTTTCTTGTATTCTTACTGATCTATAGAAGAGTGTGTGCGTGTGTGTGTGTGTGTATTCTGGACACAATTCCTTTGTGAGATATATATATATATATCATGAATAGATTTCCATCTCCATGGCTTACCTTTTTGGAATTGTAGCATTGTCTTCTGATAACCAGAAATGCCTAATTGTAATGAAACTTAATTTATCATTTTGACCCCTTAAAACTACACTTTTTATTCTCTGTTTAAGGAATTTTTCCTATCAAGATCATGAAGATATTTTTCCTTATATATTTTTTAAGTTGCATAATTTTACCATTCAAATTTAGTCTATAGTCCACCTGGAACTAACTTTTGTTTACAGTAAGGCAGGGGTCAAGTTTTTTGTTTTGTTTTAGTTCCATAGGAATACCTAATCGATCTGAGCATCATTTATTGATAAGACCACCCCTTCCCCACTGCACTACAGAGTCACCTGTGGTGTAAATCAAGTAATTGTATATGAGTCTGTTCCTGAAGTCTCTGTTCTGTTCCCTTGGTCTATGTATCTATCCTTACAGTAATATCACACTGTCTTAATTACTGTTGCATTGATATCTGGTAGTTAAATTTCTCCAACTCTGTTATATTTTAAGAAATCTTTAACTATTATTTTTAGTCATTTGTCTTTTCATATAAATTTTCATAAAATTTGTCAAGTGCTATCAACAGAAATGTGTTATATTTCATGTATACATTCAATATAACCAATTTTTAAAATTGAATTTTTAAATAAGCTTGTCAAGTTATATCAAAAATAATAGTACTTAGATTCATATGCATTGAATCTATAGGTCAATTTGGGTATAGATAAATGGAAAAACACCTGTGTTCATGCATTGGAAAACTCAATATTGTTAAAATGTCCATACTTTCATTACATTTTCCATTAACGTGGGGTCTTTGCTAAAATTTGGAATATTAGATATGCTAAATTTCTTGGGGATTTAGACACTGTTTAAGGCACCCTTTGTTCTGCCCACAGTATGTAGACTTTCTTAGTATCATATAAATACTGAGTTACAGGTGGGAAGAGATGGTGCCCAGGACTCTGAGATCATTGGCCTGGTCAGGAAAGAAGCCCAAGAATGAAAGAGCCTCCTAGTCAGTGACCAGTTTGGAAGTTCACATTTTATTCCTTGGCAATATGGCATACCATGTAAGATCCTGTGTGTCAGTCAGTACTAAAGAAGAGGAGAAGAGAGTGCAATATCGCTTCATGGATTATAGCTGGGAGCAGGGTGTTGTGACACTGAAGGAGGAGAGTTAAGCCAAGCTCCAGTACTCAAGACAACTTTAGAGGGGGAAAGAATCCTTTGTACTGGAAAATCCTCTTCCATGTAACCTCCCAGTTGACAAATGGATAGTGCACTGACCAAATATCTTATTGCAGGGTCCTTTCACTCTGAATGCTCACATATGTCTCCTACTAGACTATGAGTTTTTCTTGGGCCTAGGCTGAGTCTTGGTCTTTACTGTATCCTCCCTTACTCACAGACCTGGCCTCTAGCAGGTGCTCAATGGTTGTTGGGTAAATAAGTTTAGCTTCATTTGTCCTCAAACATGAGTGCTAGAGGGAGTGTGTGTGGATGGTAACTTAATTTATTCTATATGACATGGGGAAAGAAGACACTCAGAGGGAATGCAAACTGCATTAAGAACTAGCCTTGGCATCCCTAAAAATGACCTGAAGGGCAAGGTACACTTGAAGAAAACACATCTATCCATATATCCCTCTGCCCTGCCCATCACACACTCATACTGAATGCTTCCAGAGGAAATAGAAATGTTACTCACCCAAAAGCTGTCAAACTGGAGTTTTGCATGCAAAAAAGGAGTTTGGCAAGTGTCTTCAAGAATTGATTGAGACATTGGGACACCAGGAAATGATGGGGAAATCCCTTTGGTTTCCTCCTGCCCAGGCTGAGCCCAGGATAAAAGGACCAGCTCTGGGATTCTTCATGCACTTGAATCCCTGAGGCCTGGAACAGCGTGGAAAGGCAGGTGAGTGGGGAGGCCCTGTTCTATGGGACAAGAAGTTCTCAAAGGGGCTGATGGATTCCCACTAGAGGAAATGATAAGCATGTGTAGAGTTATGGTTTGGGGGTATGGAAAAGGAAAGACAGATGATCAGAAATAGCAATAGTAACAGATTAGCAAAAAGGAGCAGAAAATAAAGACCAGATGGGCAAGACAGTGAGCCAGAGAGGTGAGATGGAGTGAGATGCAGAAAGTTAGGGGCCCACATCATGAGTCAATAAACTAAGGTCTGCAGGTGAAACCCAGCCCACTGCCTGTCTCTGTAAATAACTTTCTTGGAACACAGGTATATGCATCTGTTTATATGTTATCTATGCCTCCTTTTACACAGCAATGTCAGAGTTGAACAGTTGTGACAGAGACTGTCTGGCCTGCAAAGCCTAAAATATTTATTATCTGGTCCTTTACAGAAAAAGTTTGCCAACTACTCTTCTAAATTAGAAGATAATTTGAGATTAGTGTGATTAAAGGTTTAGATGAAAAAGCTCCAGGTCAGCCAAATGATGCTGGTAGAGCTGAGGCCAGAACATTGCTTTCACAATCCCTAGTCTTTGTTCCTCCTTATGCTCTACTTGGAATGTTTCTCTTGTTTTATGGCCAAGGCTCCTGAGCCCCAGAGAGAGCACAGTGGGCCACCTAGTGAGGATCTGAGCTGGGTGCCTGGCTGGGGTCTCCTCCTGACTCTGGCTTTGCTCTGGAGTTTAACTCTAAGACCATTGACACCAAGGGATGTTCATTATCCTTGAAGAAACAGTGGTCATGTTTAAAGTAATCAGGAATGACACAGAAGGACTAGACAAATTGCTGAAGAGGGCAGAGTAAGGGGAAGAAATGCCTCAGTGTCAAATAGGGGCACTGTTCCAGAGAAAGGAAATGTTTCATGGTATCTGGAAGAAATGCAGTCCAATCTCTCCACATTAGACTCTGCTTCAACAGGTCTTACAAAACCCTAGCAGTGCTGTGCTCTCTCTGAACCTGCTTTTCTTAAAGCTGACTATTCTAAAGACATTTTACCTTGTATTTTCGGGCACATTTTCCTGATACTTTCCAAATCTTTTCTTTCCCTGGACTCCCTTCAGAATGAACATGCTCTGTTCAAATCACAAAGCACCATCCAGGCACCAACTCTCCAGGTGGGGTAGACAGGGCAAACACTGGGCATCTGAAAGGCAGACTCTAAGATAATTCTCTTTCTTGGCTGCTGTGGTCCATGGAGGCTCCTGTGGAGTGGGTGTTCTTGAGAGGAAGTGAAATAAGATGGTCATAACATTGATATTAAAGAAAAGAGTGACAAGAGAGGGTATGTGCTAATTTAGAAATAATCTTCACTGACATGATCTCATTCTAAAGGGCTTTACTTCTTTGTTTCAGTTCATCTTCAATCTAAGGAAAATGTCCTATCAGCAGCAGCAACAATGCAAAGTGCCCTGTCAGGGCCCTCCCCAGATCCCTAAGTCTTGCCCTCCCCACGTCCCTGAGCCCTGCCCCCCGAAGGTGCCTAAGCCATGTCCCCCACCCTCCAGCCAGCCAAAGTGTCCTCCTGTTAAGTGTCCTCCCTGCCAGCAGGAATACCTGCCAAAGCAGAAGTGACAGTTCTGAAGCCACCTCCCTGACCTGGCAATGAAGATACTGCATCCCCTTGCCCCCACTCCATCTCCTCACTTTCAGCAACAACAAGGAATACTCAATACTTAGAAGATGCTTTTCTCTTCAGACTCAAGAAAAAAAGATATCATCATAGTCTATGGGTTTCCTCCCCAAATCAGCGGCTCTTCCCAACCCCTCTCCAGGAGACTACATGGTGTAGACAGAAGTTCTCAAACCTGCCAGAGTCCTGACCTGTTCCTGCCCTTCTCCTTGACTGCTGTGGTCCAGCAGCTGGCTGCTCTGCCACGCTGCCTCCTGTTGGCTATATGAGGTCACTATAGGATGCAGATTTCCTTGCCAACAATCTGCCTCTGTAGGTTTCAAAGAAATGAAGGCTTCCAGGAGCAAACATGGTGGAGAAATTAAAACAAGAAAACTGTTTAAATCAACCAAAATTTGTCCAGAGTTCTTCAGAACACAACTCCACACTCTTCAGTGAAGGCAATGAGTTCTGTTTGTATTCCTCCCTAATAACTTCCACAACCCCTATAAAGCTCCTCTAACCTTCACTCATAACCCCTTTCTGGACTATGAGTCCATTAAAGTAATCTAAACCCTACAATGTTCCTTCCTCCCTACTTCTCAATAAAAGATCTTTATCCCTGATTGGCCATTTCTCTGCTTTCTTGCTGGGGCCACAGAGGGACAAGTAAGGGCCTTGGATGAGAAGCACAAACTGAGCAGGAAATGGTTGGGAGGACCCTGGGGGTGATCTGGGACTCCTGGAGAGGGAGATGGGGACCCAGCACAAGCCAGCAGATCTCCTTTTCCTCTCTGGCCACCTATCCTCAGTGTCCCAAAGCACCAGCTGTCTCCCAAGCTCACCTCTGCACCCAGCACCTATCATTTCTTGGGAAGGACTTGCCACAGAGAGGAGGTAGAGAGTGCTGGCAATGGAGCCACCAACTGGTATCAGGGCCGCAGGGTGGGCTGACATGGGCTCTGCAAGGTCCTGGGGCCAGAAATGCCACCCCGATTCTCCACCTGCTTGGTGTGGGTAAGTATGTATGCCCTTAAACCCAATGAGGAACCCAAAGAGTTTTTGTTCTTGTGAATTTTATCTATTTCTATTTCTTATATAAAAATTAAAGCTGAGGAAATTTTAAAACACTTTATGAACAAGTAGGCATTGTACTAGCTGTCATAGTGATGATGTCACCAAGTGCCATGTAGTCTCTATTGTCATTTCTACTGTAGATTCATGGATAAATAGGAATGAAAACAACAAATAACATCTTAATATCATTAGGACAATATTTTGACTCACAGACCCCACTGAAGCATCGTGAGAACCCCCAGCATCTCCATCCACCTCAAGAACCACTGGTCTAGTGAGTCACTGTGGGGCAGGGTCCCTGAGCTTGAGCCAGTCAGATAACACAGGTGTGGGAAGACTAACGAAGTTCTCCTTGGGTTTCAGCCTCAGCTTACTGGGGGAGAGGGGCACCCTTATATATGTCATTTAACCACTCATTAAATCAAGTTCTGTACTTTCAGTGGTCGGTGATTAGCAACAATAAAGTGTCTAGAACTGATAAAACTTGGAGATAAAAAGAAGAGGAAATTGTAGCTCTCTAGAGAAGCTCCTCAGTGGTCTGCTGGAGTAGTGGGGACAGGTATGTGTTGTATGGACCATTAGATTGCATCTAACAAGGACAGACATCATGGAGCAGAGGGTGTGCTGGGGGATATACGAATATGGAAGGTGGAGAAGAAGGTAGAGTAGAGGATGACTCTTTGGTTTCTTACCTGGGCTTCTTACTTGGGCTCCTACATGCCACAAGCAAGACCTCCCTTAGGAGCTAATCATATTCAGTGATTATGGAAGTTTGAATCTAATCATATTCCACGTTTTTCCCAATTCTCCTCCTCCTGCCAACCATACAGTAGGTTCTCTCTTATTTCCATGGAGGTAAAATCAGGTCAGAGTCAATTGAAAAAAATTACCTGAAGGGTAAGAAATTTCAAGAACAACCAAGAATACGTGTACAAAAGAGAGGAAAGAACTAATTTCTACCTATAGCAGGATTGGGAAGGGTTGTGAGTCTTTCCCCAAACTTCACCCATTTCTCTTTCCCCCACTCGATTGTAGGTTCCTAGGTCCATTCACTGTCCCCAGGAGTGTCCCCACTGGTTGATTTCAGATTCTGAAACAGAGATCAGAGGCAGCATCTGGTTCTTGTTCTAAATCTTGTTATTAACCTCTTCTCCTGGCCCTAAATCTTTCTCAAGTTGTTTCTGCTTTGTAGATGTATAGCAGATATTTTCTTCACAGCTTCCAAAGCTTAGAGTCTATTTTTTAAAGATTAGCAGGCAGAATTTCTTAAATGACTTGAAGCTAAAACTACTGTCTGGATGGGTAAGACCCTCTATTCATTCACTGCCCTGCTCAAACCACTGAGGTGTTTATCTCCTGGGACTAGTGGCATCAAAAGATCAGAGACCTCTGGGCTCTGCCTAGATTAGGAGCACAAGGTGCAGACTAGGTTGCACTTTCTATTTTTTTTTTTTTATTTTGAGAGATTAGGCATAAGAAACCTTCTCCTGGCCTGATGACTGGTCCTGGGAGCCTTCCTGGTGAAGAGAAGAAAAGGGTGCAGTATCCATCTATGAAGACAGCTGGAGAATGGAAGATTGGATAAACTGCCATGGGAGGGTCAACACATAAGAAAGTTCTAGAAAAAGACAGAATCCCCTCTATATCATCTCTGGAGGTGACACTTCCCCAGGAGGGCCTCTGTGACCCCATCCAGCTGGGCTTTCATAGCGTGTTGTTCAAACTTAGAGCTGTAATATCCCTGTACTTTAACTCTGTGCCTAAGTATCTGTAACCTTAGATACTTCACCTAGACTTCACCTAGACTGTGAAATCCCCTTGGGATGATCTCTGCATCTCCCCTACACACCCCTACTACTGCCCCCAACACACACACACACACACACACACACACACACACACAGTCAGGCCTCTGGTAGGTGCTCAATGACTGTTTAACTAAACCATCTGATGTTCATTTGCTCCTAAAGCTCAGAGCTAGGGTGGTACATGTTAAGGTCAATAGTAGTTTCACTTCAGGTACCTGAAAGAAATAGTGGTGTTGTGCTGGGGGATGACATCCCAGGCCCGGGTTCCCTATAGAAGGCCTGTCTCCTGGGGACAAGGGACTCAGGTAGTCCTGATGCTCATCTCCCTGTAGACCCCAGGACATCCTAGGCCTTGGTACAGCTGAGTAAAATGTGCCTGCCTTCATCCCTCCTTCACTCCTTCACCTCCATCCAGAGGCAGTGGCACCAAGCAGTTGCCAAGCAGAAGACCCACACAGAGCTTAGAGCAACAATCTCTCTTCAGGTCTGTGAGTACTGCATGGACACCAGAGTCCCTTGACACATGGGCCTTGGTGTCCCTAGGCACTGGGTTTCCATCAATGAGATGACAGTTGTAGACAAGGGAATCCTAGCCCCAGATCACAGATGTCATTATGTGGGTCTGGGCTACAGCTTAACCTTCTCAGTTCCTCATGCTTTGCTCTTCCTTCACAATCATCTGAAGCTTGTGCTCAGGCTAGGGTAACAAAAGCCTATGGTTTTTACTGAGTGGTATTTCTGATGTTCAATTTTGACTCTTTAACTGGCATGTATTAACTTTCCTGCAGAAACAGAGGTATGATTTTAAAGTAACCAAGAATAGCACTGATGGAGAAGAGAAATAGCCAATAAGTCTAAGGGAGAAGACAAAATATCTTCAGAACTGGCACAGATGAAAAGACTGGAAAATGTACATGATGCCTTAAAAGTTTTCCAGTCCTTCCTCCAAACAAATTAAATATTCTCTATCAATAGGCTTCTAAATGATGAGTTGGCATTTAATTGAATATTTGCTGGGTCAGATAGCTCATTCTCTTAGGAGGAGCTGTTAAGTTGGGGTAAGAATAGCATGTTAGAGACTTCATCTTCAACTCCTACCACTTAACACCTACTCATTCTGTTCCCACTCACTGGAAAATTTGGGAGCATTCTTCAAGAGAGACAGCCATGAATTACGTGTAATCTCATGCTCCTCCAAACCTTTGCTCCCTGAGACTAAAAATTCCCCACTCAATTTTTGCATTTCCTAACAGGCTCTGCTTGATTCTCCCCAAATTTGCTGCTTTTTCTCTGAGTCATTGCAATGTGACCATGATCCTCAGGGGACAGAACCCAGAACTAGCCCCAATCATCCAGGATTGGGGTAGATGTGGGCAGACATGGGCATCTTGGTGCAGCCCCAGAGTACTCCCCTTGATTGAGAGCTCACTCTGTGGAGGCCAGAGTGGGCTGGGGGTCATGGCTGTGAGTGAGAAGGTTGGGGAGAGCTTAGTCCCTAAGGATGAGGAAGTGTGTGAAGGAGAGGGCACTTTTCCCATGTGAATACTGTTCCTCTACTGTTGCTGCTACAGATCAAAAGTTTATCTACTGTTTCTTGCAGGTTATCATCAATCCAGGAAAGATATCCTGCAGCAGCAACAATGCATGGTACCCTGCCAACCCCCTTCCAGGTCCCTGAGCTCTGCTCCCCATCCCCAACTGGCAGGTGGGCACCCCCCCCATGCTAATAAGAAGACCACTAATACAGAAGTGGCTCTTCAGAGGCTCCCTGCCCTTGAAGACCTGGGCATTCAGTTGCCCCCTGCCCCTTTCCAATCGTTTTCTTTGGCAATGACAGAAAACACCACACAGCACAGGAGTGACTTTCATCTACCCAAGGAGAAAGATATCTTCACAGACCACCAATTTGACTACAATTTATCAACAGTGCCCTCCCAGAACCTCCTCCAAGAAACAGCAAGAATTGGCCAAGTGGGGGGGGGCATGTTTTAGGCATCCTTCCTGGATGCCATTCTCTATTTCCAGACTGCTATGGACAGGACCATTCAATTCTTCTAGCTGCTGCCTCCACTACCATTGCTGCCCTGCCAGCTCCTGAAAACGATTCGAAGTGTGAATTAACTGTCCTTCCTTAGCTTTCTGTACCTCTGCTTTTCACCATTCTGGGGAACTTGAGTAACCAAGATGATTAAAAATAGCTTATAGCCAAGAAAATAAAACTATCTTAAACAATTTAAAGTTCTTCAGAATCTCCTCACTTTTTAATACCTCACCCTCAGCTGAAAGAATCTCATATTTCTTATTAATCACTTCCTCTCTTCTTAAGATAGGTCACCCCTCACTCTGCCCCTGGCCTTTTCAGAACTTTTTGAGAGGATGTTCCTTCCCAATAAAAGTGACATCTCTGAATATTTCTGACTCTGCCCTCTTCCTGGGCCTGGGAAAGGGCAGAATGTTCCTACCAGGAAGGAGGGACCTGGATAGGCAAGTAGATCTTTAGGGAACATCCTTAAAAGATCCTGGAGACAGTCATGGGCCACTAAGGGTAAGGAAGGGTACTGCTAAATTAGAAACAGCCTGCTGCTCCACAGAGACTCCCTTCATTATCACACAGGAAGACCAGCTGCCTCCCACCCAAGAGCCCCTCCCCTGAGGAAGAGGATGCAGGGGTGGTGGGCAGGGGAGGGCTCTGTGGGCTCAGTGAGTAGGAGTTTCAGCTCTGAGTGGGACCCTGAAGTGTGAACTGGTCCTGTCTGTGGCCTCTCCTGGAGGAGGCTGTCAACCCAAAAATGCCTTCAGCCTGGCCTCCGGGATGTCTAAGCCTGAGAAAGACATAAAATCCAGGAAGTCCTGTGTGGCAATGAAGAGTTCAGAGAAATTTCTCTCATTACTGTGTCTCCTCTGGTTTCATGAAGCAACATATGTATCTTCTGGGTATTTCATTATTTTCATCTCTCAAATTCACTGTTAAATGGTGTTTTGCCCAATCAAAATGACAACAATTTACTAAGCATCTATTATGCTCACCCTGAGCTATGTGCTGCAGACACAGACAAAAATAGCCCAGGACCTCTCAGAGAGGTCACCAGTCTTCCAGGTTGGGGAGGGTAATGTGGGGACAGACCTGTTATACAGCACTCAGTCCAGAGAGTGAAATGGGGGTGCTGAACATGCATGAGACAGACAGGAAGGGGGTGGAAAGAATGCGGACTTCAAGGAGGAGCTCAAACAATTTAGATACTAAACTTTGACAAAGAAGGAAGGGAAGGGCATTCCATACAGAGACAACAACCCATGGAAACTCTCAATTATTATTTCCTACATTCCTCAGAATTTTATCCTATGACTTCCTCTAACAAGTATCTACCAATTGCCTTTTTGTTTGTTTGTTTGACTTTGCTCTTAGAACTGGATAGTGAGCATCACTGTGAAGTAGAGGGCAAGGTGGGAAGACAAAGGAGGAAGCCGACAGTTTTACTGCTTCAGTACAGTTGCCTGATCTCTATCAAAGCCAATATCAGAGGCAAGTGATAATTGGAATTTTGACCTGCACTTACCCAGGAATCAAGCTAGTTGTACCAAAACCAATCCTGGGGTTATTTCCCCAGTTCCTGAATGACTATTTGGAACAGAGAACCCCAACAGCTGGAATAATCAGCAAATTAGCTCCCTTACCTTGGGTAAGGGCTATTGTGGAAGAAAAGAACAAGGCAAGTTCCTGGAACTCAACCCCCATCCCCCAATCACCACCTAAATTATAAACTAAAAAGCAAACTTTCATGTCTGGAGGAATCACAGATATTGGCCACTTCAAATACTTGAAAGGCACAGGAATAGCTCTCTCTAGTATGTATCCATTGAATTTCCTATTCTACTTTGTGTCAGTAAATTGAGGCCCATAACCCAGTAGATGGTTATTGATTATCCACCAATTTTAGAGAATAATAGAAATAAATACACATTGTTAAAAGTGATTAAAGATAAATTAGGTGATATACACAAACTTTAACAATTTATGAAGAGGGCAGTCTGCTCCCAAAGGTCAAGAGAATTGCAAAATGGGGCAGAGGGCAGGAAGATTTTACAGGATAAAGAATAAGGAACAAGGAAGAGAAAAACAGAAAATGAAAGAAGAACAAGGAAATAAGTATAGAGCCCAGACTTCACTTGGCATTTGGGGATTAGCTGACTGGATATACTCTTTCTGGTCTAGTAGAACATTTACAGGGACACAAAGATTTCGGTTTCTGTGTGCTCATGTGGCCCCTACCAACAGGAGTGGTTCCATCTTGGGCCTGAATATCTATTTCACAACATATAATATACAGTCCAACTATGAAGCAAAAAGACACAGGCCTCATATTTTTAATTTGAAAATCCCCAAACTCCTCTCCCAGAACCACAGACTCCCAGCACAATGGAGTCTTTCCTAGCACAGAGACCACACTCCTAAACCCACAGGCTGCCCTGGACAGGGGGCTCTGGCACACAGTGGAGGCCCAAGCCTGAGTACAGCCTCCCTTGAGCCGTGAACATGCTGGTACCTCCAACACCCACACTCCCATCTGCCACTGCACCTGCCCTGAGGAAAGGAGAGCCACTGTGGCTGTCATTGGACTCGGGGAGGACTCAGGGCAGTGTGGGCCCAGTGTGAGTGCAGATGGCAAAATCTGTGTGCCCCACTCCAGGAAACCCCCACATTTCTTTCTTGTGGCTTCCTGAGTGCCCCCTGCTGGCCTGTTCTAGGCCTCAGAGATTTTAAGTCCTGAAGAGAGGACCAATGTTAGTTTTTACCATTTCAATCTGGCCAAGAATAAGTCAAGAATTGGTCTGCAATATTTATTAATTCCTCAAATATTTATTAAAGGCAAAAGGGGATGGTGATGTGTGGGCAGCCCTCAGACAGATTACTTTGAGCCCTACCTCCTCCTCTGGAACCTTCCCAAGACCTCACACCTGGTCTCTGCAGGTTTCCATTCACCCTTAAAGTGACATAATGGCATACACCCTTCTAAGCTTCAGCCTGGGTCTCTCCATTTGGGTTTCAGTTTCAAGGAAGCCAGTGGGAGTGACAGCTCCACATATGGCTGGGTTTATCCTTACCTGGCTCAGGGGCAGAAGGAGGAGCTATTTTCTTACCAGGTGGGGAGGTGATGGAGAACAATGTTAAGCAGAACTCTGGGCCAGCAGTGAAGGTTTTGTTAGTGGGCAGTATAAAAACTCTGAAGGATTTTTATGTAACTGAAGAGTGTTCTATGCTTTATTATTTTTTTAATATGATGCTTAACTTTTCTTTATTTAAATTCAATTAATTAACATATAGGGTATTATTAGTTTCAGAGGTGGGATTTAGTGATTCATCAGTTGTATATAACACCCAGTGCTCTTTACATCAAGTGCCCTCTTTAATGCCCATCACCCAGTTACCCCATTCCCCCACCACCCCCCTCTCCAGCAACCATCAGTTTTTTTCCTAGAGCTAAGAGTCATTTATGGTTTGTCTCCCTCTCTGATTTCATCTTATTTTCTTTTTCCCTCTCTCTCTCTATGATCCTCTGTTTTGTTTCTTAATTTCCACATATGAATGAAATCTATGATAATTGTCTTTCTCTGATTGATGTATTTTGCTTTAACTCCACAATCAATTTTGCGGCTCAGGTCCTATAATATGAAAGACCAGGAGGTAGGGGATGATGAGATCCCTCTCTAATTAACTTCTCTGGCCACAGAGGCAAGTGTGCTGGGGAGGAGCCCAACAAGCAGCAAATGGCTTTGTGTGCACACCTGCTAGTGGGGAGCAGGGCTGTCAGATGTTTCAAGAGAAAGGGAAGTAATACAGGGCTAA